CTTTGGGCCAGTCACAGACTCTCAGCCCAAAGTCACCCAGTTGGCTCCATGGCTGAGCGGGGACTAGAACCCAAATCGCCTGAGTCCCAGTCCCATGCTCTTAACCACTACACCACACTGGCTCTCCGAGTTACTTAATCTGTTCTCCAGGATTTCTCAAATGCAACAGTTAGAGGCTCTGAGAATCACTGCACTAGCAACTTCAACACACCAGGACACAATTCATTTGGATGTGGGGACCTGAACTCATTCATACAGCATCGCATCCTTCCCCCAGGACCCTGTCAGTGAGACTGACAGCGATTCACCAGAAGCAGAAGCATCCTCTCACATTACTACAACAGTGCACTGAACCTGTCAAAATAAAACCACTGGGAAGTGGACAAACATTGCATTGCAAATCTAGGAAACCACACATGCAAATGCTGTATTAACTTCTAACATCTTTTCGGTCATCCCTGTTCCTTTTTGCCCACACCTCAGCAACAAGCATGAAGGAGACTCACCATATACTCCATGTTGGCAGCTGGTGGAGACACTTGTGCCCGCACTTGATTGTGGTAGTCCAGAAGTGCACTCATGTCCCTGGGAGAGATATAGCGCTTTCTGCGAGTTCTCGGCACTCCAAGGGCAGACAGGAGGCCTGCCTCAGCACTGCTAGTCGGGTAGAGAAGTTCAGTAGTATTGGGCAGCATGAAGGAGCTGGATTTCTGTATCATCCAGAAGACGGAGCCAGTAAAATATAACTGCATGTGCAAGAGAGTCATTTTAGGGTTTGCACACCTTTTCTCCTGAGCCACTCAGAAGGTGTCGTGGTTATTGTGGTGGTTGATTTAATGCAATCAGTATGCCAAAACTTATTTTTCCTTCTGGTTTATAGATCTAAGAAAAAGGGAGAAAATAGACACTATTTTAATTTATTTTATATATTTCATTTAAAAAATTCCCTGGAGCTTGAAAAGGAGAGTTGAAATTAACCAAGGAAAATGTTAGTAAGAGTAGCAGAAGAAAAGTTTGGCTAAGCTGTATTTATAAAGAGCAAAATTCCTAAGACCAGCTGTGAAATCTCCAAAGGTATTTTATTTATCACTGCTGTCCGAAAAGGGGAAAGCTTCCCTCCGCCTACCCAAAAAACTTTCCAAGTGTTCACATGTACCTGCCAAGGGATGCTAATTAATAACATGCTGCCATGGTGGCTTTACCTCCTTCCCACTGTTTTCTCAGATTGTCGGTCCATCAAGCAAAGCTGCTGGGCAAATTAAAATGCCGGTGCAATAAGTAAGCAAAATAACAAAAAGTTCTTTAAAAAGTGCTAGCTAGAAAATATAGGGGCAATGATCTTGCTGCTTCTCCTTAGATGGAGAAAGGAATACCTGCCTGGCCCGCATTTTTATTTCTTTTTTAGTCCTAGAAAGGTTTTCTAGGATATTTCCTAAAGATGCTAAAATCATATTTCCCACATTACATACCTTGAAGGCTCAGCCAAGGAGAAATGAGAAATGTAAGTCGCTGCAGTGGTAGCAAGCCCCAGGGACTGACCTTTACAAACAACCGGCACTCAGGCAGAGGGAATGGACATAGCCAAGTCCGAGGAGTCTTTGATGACAGTCTGACACACAATCTGCCTCTGAATTCTTCCCTTGGGGAACATTCAAAGGTCTGAAAAGTGCACAACTGGGCAATTTATGGCTTTCCCCCTGTGTACACATGGCTTCCTCTCTCTACCCAGTGTCTGCCTGATTCTCACTGTGGAGTGGAGCAGCAGGGGGAGGCAGTGAAAACTATTCCATCAAATAGGGAGCTATTTTTCTCCAGCTCTAAGATGTGAGTGCAGCCATCTATTCAGGAAAATCTATGCACAGAGGATTGCCAGACATGGGGGCAACCCCCACACCAAAAGAGAAAGCCATGAGCAAATAGACTCCATGTCTTTGGCTCTTGATATGGGTCTGGCTGAGCCTCCGAAGTTTATACCTGGAGCAGCCCAGCAGCCAACAAACATGCTCCCATTCACATCACATCCCGCAACCTGTTGTTTTAATTAACTACCAGGAACCAGAATAAATAACTGCTTTTTAAGAAAATGGTTCAATAATTCTTGTGCCAAGATTTTTAGTTCTATTAACACTTCTTACAGTTTCAAAGGCATACAAACCTACACCTGCTTTTTTTCTACAAAGCCCATTGAGGAAATGATGCCTAGGAGTCATGACACTTGCCATTTCCCATCTTGCAATTCAGTTTGAGAGACAAAAAAAAGTGCAAATCCCATGTTTCCTGGCAGAAAGTGCCATTCCTGAGCATAATCAGAAGTAATTTACAGGCGTAAGGTTAAGTACTCCTGAAGAAGACACTTCCTCTTGCTAGAGAGCCATCTCTAGCACTGGTTCTTGCCATGCCCCTTTCTCACTGTGAACTTTTTCCCTCAGGAAGGAGCAAAATGGGTAAAAAAGAACTGATTATCGGCATGGGCAAACACAATTTCAATCTGGCCTTGAATTCAAAGGGATCTGGACCTGCCCTGAAATCATATGAGGCTTTTCAAATGTGGGAATTAGCAGGAAGAATCCAGTTCAGCCCTTCTGCTGATAGCACTTCCACTGCTGGAGTGAGAAAAGCCCACATTTACTTCTCTTCTTTGTGAAAACGATCCAGTTTCCCCAACCTTCTGCTTACTGGCTCTGCAACCAATTACTGATGTCTAAAGGAATGGATTCTGTCCTTATCCCATGGCTAAGTACCATGTTTGCTGAGGCTCCCTTTGCAACTGACTTTGTCACTGGCTTCAATAATCTCTACTTGAAAACCTTCTCTGGGCTTGTAGATACTTCAGCAGGGTTTTTTGCAGGGACTTCTCTAATTTATCTCAGCAAGCTATTATTCTTTCTTGACAATAAACTATAATAGACTGAAGCTGCAGTTTTATACCCACTTACTTTGGAGAAGAACCTACTGAATTGAATGGGGTTCATTCTGAGTAAACATGCACAGGGTTGTATTGTCAGGTTGCAATCACTGATTGAACTCAGCAGGACTTACTTCTGAATAGACACATGGGGTTGTACTATTAATAATACTTTCCATCACTTCATTTGATTATAAGCTAATTCAAAAGTTGTTTCCAGATCTTTTGGCACCATTATTTGACAGTTTATCAACGGCACTGCTAAAAAATTATGATGACTGGGAACATTTCTTTCCATTTCTAACAGCAAAGACAATATGTTATTTGCAGACCATTTCTGGAGCAAGTGGGTGAGGCATGTTGGTCTGTTACATTGTATGTCATAATACATTTGTTAATACATTTTAAGGTGCTACAAGGCTCTTTGTTTCGTAGATTTGGCATGGTTTCTCTGTCTTTGTTATCTAGCACCCTACTATTCTTTCTAGATTCCTGCTTCTGATGTTTTGAAATACCTTGGTGTTGTTAGAGTTTGTTAATTGTTATTATTGCTATTAACAATGATTGTCTAAAATAATATCTTTAGCAATTTGTTCTTGAAATTCTTACTTGATCTGCACCACTGCAGCTTTACATTTTGATTTTCCAGAGTTTGTGTGCCTCCCTCTCTCTCTCTCTCTCTCTCTCTCTCTCTCTCTCTCTCTCTCTCTCGATATGGGGGAAAAAGAACTGGGCAAAATATTCACTTTTCAAAGGTTATCTTTTAGATTTTTAAACCCTTCTTGGATTCTGCACTTCAACTACACTAGCAACCTTTTTGGCTTGTTTGTTAGCCTTTTCTCTTGTTTACACTTTATGTGAACCTTGTGTGAGCCGAGCTTTTTGAAGGCACTGGACCCTCCTTAACTCTAATGATGTACATGATTAATACTGGAAGGAGTCAAAACAAAGCTGACAGGGTGCCACTGAAGCCTATCATCTTACATTCGTTTGACTTTCTAGAGATACTACATTTGAGAAAGAAAGGAGTCTTTTGGTTTCTGTTTAATGGACTAAGCAGGGCCCAGCTGTGCTTGTCACAGCCACAAAGCCGACTCCAAAGAGTCTTATTATGAGGCTTTGTCTTGAGCACAGATTGAAGGAGCGGCATAATCAGCACTCGCCCAGACAATCCGCATTCCAAGTAGTGGTAGGCTTTGTGTCCCTGCCAGTTGTAATATCCTGCAGCCCAGACTGTCCTGTTTGCCAAAGCACACGGTATCTGCAGAGAGGGTCTTGCAGCAAGCCAAAAAGCACACACGCTGACCAGAGTCAGCACAGCAGAGTCCCACTGAATTGTCTTATTTGAGAGAGAGAGAGAGAGAGAGAGAGAGAGAGAGAGAGAGAGAGAGAGATGTAAGGCTGACCATGTCCTTTCTCATGAGCTGTTCACCACTTTACCAGCACCTGAAAAAGCTGACACAAAGGCAAAGCAATTTGCTTCTAATATACTGTGTTGTCAGCAGAGCTGGCAAGATCAGGCATCCATCCTTGCTGAATCAAACCAGTCCATCAGTTTGCTTCCAACTGCAGGCAGCCACATGCTTCTGGGAAGCCCATGAGCAGCGGGGTATGAAAACAGTAACCTTTCCGTTGTTTGTCTCCAGCATGTGGTTCCCCAAGCGCAGGGGAGTAGTAGAGCCAGGCTCAGAGGGCCAGCACTCGCTGGCACTTTTGCATTAGCAGGGAAGCTGCTCGTCTGTCATCCCCACAGTGATTCTCTGCTCCCTCTGAGCTCGACTGCAGCCCTCAGGGTGGGTCAAAAGAACATTGTTCCTTGTACTGTTAAATATTTTGGGGAAACCTGAGCTGCAATGGCCTATCAAGACCTATTAGTGTAATTAAAGGCCTGCTCCTGATGAAGATGAAAACTCCTAGAAGTGGATTGTTGAAATGGCTCCACTCTCGCGTGAGGAACTGGTACAACTGGGATTGTTGTGGTTAAAGGTTTAAGGGGAGGCTTGATAAAAGTGATTAAAATTAGACATGGTGTGGGGCAAGTGGGGAGGGAGACATAGTTCTCCCTCTCCCATAATACTAGAACCCAGGATTATCCCCTGAAGCTGACTGGTGCAAGATTCAGGGCAGAGAAAAGGGAGGACTTCTTCCCACAGTGCAAAGTTAACCTATGGCATTCATAGCCACAGAAAGTAGTGATGGTCAGAAATTCCAGTGGCATTAAAAGGAATTGGAGAAATTCATGGAAGAGAAGGCTATTAATGGTTACTGGTCTTGCAGGCAATGTGCTACCTCCATTTTCAGAGGTTGCTGCCTTTGTACACCAGTGGTTGAGGAGCTTGGGCAGGTAGAACTGTTGTACCCATACTGCTTGAAGAATCCTGTGGGCAGCATCTTTTCTTATTCTCTTATCAACATAGTTGCCTACAATTTTGGTTACTCCTTGGGATTAGGCTATGGGGAATGCCATTTGTCATTCCAAATTTACCACTGGAGTCTTTCCCAGCCTGGTGCCCACCATATATTTTGGGTCTCAAGTCCCATCATCCTCAGCCATGTCAGCAATGTTTGGGAATGCTGGGAAATGTCACACAGAATATCTGGATAGCACTAGGTTGGGGAAGGCTATCCTGGGACATTCTCAAGGTTATGCAATGTATACATATAAGCTCTTTTGAAAATATATTTTGATATATTAATTTTCATTAACAAGATAACCCAACACTCAATACTGAGTTTTAGAAGGGACACAGAGAGTTCAGTGTCCTAAGGTGGAACTGGATAGAGTCCTAAGAACATCATTCCAAAGAATCTGTGGTTGGTTGGTCATTGATCAAGGTCACATGAATACATTTGATGAAACTGGACCACATTGTGATAACAGAGTCAATGCTTTGATGCCCCTTGAACATCCTTACTCAGTGAATTGCTTGGTACATGGGTCATAACTTATATCTTTTTGTCATCAGTACTCTAGGTTTACTCCCCACCTTACTCAACCATCATTCAAGGAATGTTTAAGCAACATACTACTTTGTGGCATACAGACAGCCTTGATAATACAAGCTGTGTTCTATGGCAGGTGTTGGTATATACACCTAGGTAAAACGTACTGTCCCCAAAGAGCATATGGTAATAACAATGATACCAATGCTGCTCCATTTTAGGCAGAAATATAGATTCCTCAGAACTTTATCGTTAATAATAAAAAATAGAAATTGTGAAGGATTTAATATAACTTGGCTCAGTTGTCAATTCAAGGGTAGACTGCAGCCAAAAAATTCCAAGAAGACGGTGATTTGGAAGGACTGGAATGAATAAACTTGAAAAGAGAGTCAAATGTAAGGATATTTGACTGGAGACCATGGTCAAGATCATACAAACTATTGAATTCCCAATCGCAATGTATGGGTGTGAAAGCTGGACAGTGAAGAAAGCTGACAACAAGAACACGAATGAGTTTAAAACATGGTGATGGAGGAGAGCTTTGAAAATACTCTGGCCCAAGAGAAAGACAGACAAGTGGGTCTTGGATCAAATCAAGTCATAACTTGCCCTGCAAATACAAATGACAAATCTGAGGCTGTCATACTTTGGACATGTCATGAGAAAGTAAGACTCACTAGAGAAGAAAATCATGTTAGGGAAAGCTGAAGGCAGAAGTAGAAAGGAAAGACCAAGTGCAGATGGATTGAATCCGTAAAAGATACCACATCCTCAAACTTGGAAGAGCTAAATGGAGCTGTCATGGAGAGGACATATGGGAATGCTTTCATTCACAGCGTTGCCATAAGTTGGAGATGGAGCAGCAAATAACAACAAATGCATTTCTCATTAATCTGAGAAATGAGATCTGAGCATGAGATCCATTGGGCTTCTGAAAAGGATGCAATATCAACTTTTTGTGCTGTTTTATGCTTACTGGCTTTTGAGAGGACACCATTTCTTGGCATTTGACAACCTGCAGGATCTTCTTTTTCTGTAGATTTTCATTTGGACACAATTCCCTACATTTTTGTAATGGATTAACTTTGAGCCAACTTGAAACTTTTCAGTATTTGCGCATACAAAAAAAAGAGTCCAAAAGAGAGAGGTTGTTGGAACTGAAGCAGCACAGGAGTCAAACTGTTAAACCACAAATGAAACCCTCATAGAATGAAGACATGTTTTCTATAATAATCAGGGACTGTGCCAAAAATGGCAACATTTCAGCTTTTTAAGGCACTTTTGCAGTGAAAGTGAGCCAAGATGTCCCAAGGTTATTTGTTGGATCTTGGAAGATTATTTTACAGATATTTGCTTATTGATTTTATGTGATTCTTTTCTCAACCTCCACCCAGCTCTGAATCTTAAATCTTGTTAGTAGGTTGGGTCTTCAAAACCACGAAGACAGGAAAGTGATGTCTCCTGGACAACGTTTCTGTTACTTGATGCCAGCTGGCATCCTGTGATGTGGTATAGCTCGCAAGCAAGCAGAGGCCACGAAACAAGAATGAAGGGTGTCAAAAACTGGGCCATCCCAAAGTGAAGGTGAAAGGGACTCAATGAATTAGCCAAACAAACCAAAGTCTGGGCCATCGCATTCCAGACACAGGGAAACTGCCACTGTGCCCCCAGTGGGAGAACAGGCAAGCCTCAGTTGAGTCTAGTCTCAGTGGTGGTGAAGTGGTTACATGAAAGTAATCCAGTTAATCATACACTTGAAAAAAGGTAAATGGTCATCAAGTCCAGAGACAGCCAGGGTTATCCAGCAACCTCCCTTTTTTGGACAAATTTATGCATATGTGCAAACACTGAAAAGCTTTAAGTTGACTCAAAGTTAATCTATGGAAGAGGAAGAGGAAGGCAGTAGGGAAATGTGTTTGAAAGAAGAACTCTACAGAAAAAGAAGAGCCTGCATTTTGCTGCAAATGGAAAAGAAGGACTGGGGGATCATGTAAGCCAAGTCATAGACTTTGGGTAAGGCAGGCAATCATTCTTCTGGCCAGTTTTCTGGGAAATCCTACATGCCTGAGTATGTTTTACCTAAATCTACCTAATTTCAACTTCACCTTTCCTATATATCTGTGAAGCATTTACATCTTGTTTATCTTACCCATCAGACTATTACCTTTCCCACCTTGTTTTAAATTTGCTGTGGTCTAGCCATGTTCTTTTCAAAGGAGGTCCACCTGACATGGTGGTGGAGGACATCTCTAAATGAGGCATTTATTGTGATCTCATGATTCCTGACTCACAATAGTTTGCAGATTCCTTACACAATAAGAACCGCCTCTTTCTGAGCATTTTCACCTTTTTTTTTTCTAGAACAAGGATAATAAACTATTAAAGAGCTAGGACACTACAAAATGGTAGTGTATTTTCATAATTGCACTATACCACAGCACCACCTAGTGGTTGTATAATGGAACATATAGAAAGTACAAGGAAGAGAAATGCTGGGGTGGGGCATGAAAAGCATTTCTAAATCAGGCAAAGAAACCAAAAGCAGAAGTCTCAGCAAAGTGGTGGGTTAAAACAGGTTAAAGGCCTGTTAATGTAGAGAAGCCCAGATGCAAGCAAGCTACACCATGGTGGGAGAGCTCATGCCAGGGAGGGTTGGTCATCTGCACAAGCCTCCTTTGAAATGGTAATAGCCACACTCACAGAAGAAGGCATTTCTGCTCAACAGCTGGCAGACTCTAAAGCATGGCTCAACAACCTCAGGCCTGAGCACCAAATTCAGCCTCCCCGGGGTCCTAATCTAGCCTTCCAGGGGTTCCATAGATGGCTACATCCCTTTCCCTGGCTCTTTTCCCCTAACCACCATTCATTTGGTGCTTTCCTGGCTTTTGTGCAGCTTTCCTGCCGCCAAATGCCAAAATGTTGAAACGCCCTTTCTAAGGGAGCAAGAGCTTTAAGCTAAAATACATTGGTGCTTTGGCCTCATGTTTTTGCTCCACCAGCCACTGGGGAATAACCCCAGAAAGGTTCTTCAAAATGGTGCTCAGGCTGAAGAAAGCTCAGTAGCTCTGCTCAAGTAGCTTAGGGCATAGGAACCTGAGCATTTGCCTTGTTCACCATGATCTTGCCCATGAGACATTTAGAGGCTCGCCACTGGGCATACCACCAACACGAGACAAGTGGTGAGGGGGGGCAGGATCTTCATGGCAGTGCCATTCCAGTTGTAGAATGCTCTTCTCAGTGAGGTCCACATGGTGTTTATGTTGAAGTACCATGAGGGGTATGTGAGGGGTTGCCATGTGGAGGTGGGTCAAGGCCTGTTTTCCCCTGTGGAGGAGGGCAGGATGCGTTCCAATGGAGCAAAGCTCAGGGAACCAAGGTTCAATTTGGATGCCAGGAAGTATTTCCTGATGGTTAGGACCCCTAGGGTATGGAATGGGCTTCTATGGGAGGTGTTTGAAGCCCCATCGGTAAGGGTGTTCAAGGACAGGCTGGACATGCACATGGTAGGCATGTCATGAGTGGAGCTGGCTGGAGCAGGGGTCAGACTAGATGACCTGGGAGACCCCTTTTGACTCACTCTGTTTCTGTGTTTCTATGTAAGTTCTCCAAGCACCAGGCAAGTCCTTTTATTTTTCCAGACCTTGATCTTTACTGGAGTTATCTACTGGTGTCAATTTTGTTGTCAGTTTAATATTCATTTTATAGTTTTGTCATCTGCTTTGGAAATATTGATATTAAAGAGTAGCATATCAATAATAATAATAATAATAATAATAATAATAATAATAATAAAATAGAAGAAGAAGGAGAAGGAGAAGGAGAAGGAGAAGGAGAAGGCTGGCTGGCATTGCAGGTCTTCTGACTAATGTGCTGTTCTAACTAGAGTTCCCAAAGTTATTCTAACAGGTAAAGAGCTTGAACCACCATCATATATGGAACTGGACATACAGGGGGAGAAAAAACTATGAGCATGATTGAGCCCAATTTGTGTATGTTTAAGTCTCGTTCATTTTACTGAGAAAGATTACCATGATGCTCAAAGTGGTTCCATTGAAATCTCAATACAGTTGAAACACTGCTGGCTTTCACTAGACTGCTCTTCATGTGTTAGCCGAGGCCTCTCCTAACAGTCCTAGCAGCTTTCCTAAATCCATCTGTGTCACCTGATGCCTGTGGATGCAAGTCAATAAATCATGCTTAGTCAGGCCAAATTTTTGACCTTGCTGTCAACTATGTTACTTCATGGTACATTCCTTACCTCCAGGTGTCCTGGCATCCAGCAGATGATGGAAGTCTTCTCTGCAGTCCTTTAGTTTGGCAGAAACAATTTTTGCTGCTGTGTTCTCAGAGATAAACAGGGAATAGACAGGTTGCCTATGGTTTGATGCCTTTTGCTTATTAATGATTATTTTGGATTTGTAGTTTTTGTATTTTTGTATTTAATGGTAATTTATTATGTGCTATTGTATTTCAATGTATTTTATTGTGTTGTAAGCCGCCCCGAGGCTTTGGCAAGGGGCAGCATAGAAATGTTATATTAATAATAATAATAATAATTATTATTATTATTATTATTATTATTATTATTATTTAGCAACAAGTCACATTCGTAGAGTTTCGTGAGAGCAACAATGCACTTTAGAATGTTCAGGTGTTGCACATACATTGGTCTGTAATCCTTACAACAATCCCATGTAACCCATTCTAAGAAGCTGCACCCAGGAAAAGCTGACCACTGCCACAGGTCTGCAACCTCTCAGTGAAGCATCAGGAACTAAATGTGGCGAATCAATGAACTGTAGGCAGCAGCTTTTCAACCAAGAACCTTGCGGATCTGGTCTAATTCTGGCCACCCAAACTAGGCACTGGATCCACTTGGGCAGGAAGACGTTCTTGCCCTCTTATCCCAACTGCTCTTGAGTCCGACCCTTGGCTCCTGACTCCCTCTGTGTGTCTATGGCCCCGACGGGACAGCCAGATTATACCAAGTCAGACTTTTATTCATCTAAGCCGGTGTTGCCTGTAATGACCACTAGCAGTTCTCTAGAAGGATAGGCTGTATCAGAGGACCCAAGACATTTTGCTGCCTGAGGCTGAAGAGCAGCCCAACACTAGCTAAGCCATCTTGGGGCCAGGGGCAGAAAATGCCACAACTGCTTCTCCCTGTTCCTGGCAATAGAAATGCAACACCAGTAAATTAACAACTAGCCATTTGCTGTCCTTTCATGACACACTGAGGTGGTCTCCTCATTCTGTCTAGTGGGACAACTTGCCTTTTCCAGGGCTGTGGGCAGAACGCTGGCTACTCAGCATGAGGGCCATACATTCGCCTCAGTATCAGTTGCTAGGAAATGCAAGTGGGGCTCCTAAGGCCCCAAGCTGTGCTCGTGAGCTTCACGAGGCATCTGTGGGAAGAGAATTCTGGGCTTGACAGGTCTCACCCAGTAGCACTCTTCTTATATGTCGCTTCCTGTGTAACCTGCTTAGAAGATGCATGGGATTGGATTTGAATATAAGAACTCATAGGCATCAATGGACATCGGCTTTGTGGATGTGGAGCCTTCTGTATACAAAGCATGTGCTCTGCCATGGAGCTCTGGTCTCCTCCTCAGAAGTGAAGAAGCGATCTATCAGAGTCGGAACTTATCTTTTTATTGGCTGGAGAAACGGGATTTGGTGTAAATTTAGAGATGTTTTTCAAGTGATTATAAACTGATTTAAATATGAATATAGAAGGTTAAAAATATGTAGTAGGGGGACAACCCAGTAAATCCAATGTATGTAACGACTGATGTTTTTAGTACTAGTTTAAAATTTTCAATAATTAAAAAAAAAAAAAGTGAGAAGCGAGTGGATTGAAAGAAAACGGCATGAATAAGGTCACCTACTTTGGTTGTGGCTAAGTTGACAGGCAAACCAGAGTCTTCCTGATAAGTAACTCAGTCTCTAAGAAATGATGTGTGGCCAAAAATGCAAAATAAATAAATAGAACGCAACCAAGCAAACAGATTTAAAATTTAGTTTCAGATTCCAGCAGTAGTGGTAGGCAAAAATGGGTAGGGCAAAAGGGTAGATTCCAAAATACTGGCATATATTAGCTTAAAATTAGAAGTACCAATTCTTGGGGAAGGCATTTCAATATTTTAAAATATATGGAGGTAACTATGCAAAGATAGGAAACTACTAATCATGATGGATCTAAGCTACCTCTAGAGGATATGAGTGGGATGGTGCCATTGCACTGAAGTCCTGCTTGTGAGCTTCCCGCAGGTGGGTGGCCGGTTGACCAGTTTGTGAACAGAATGCTGAAACAGATGGACTGATCCAGCATGACTCCTCCGTTCGTATGAAACTACCAAACATTTGGCAATTATGGGGAAAGGATGCAGCCATCTTGGATGCCAGGCAAGCCACATTTGGCCTGTGGCCTGAGGTTCAACACTCATGATGCAGAAGATAGTAATGATGCAGAATCAGTGCCCTCCTTCAATCTAACATAATACAACACTGAACTTTCTATATAGCAGATTTCAAGGGATGGTTTATTTACTATGCTTACATCTTTTGACAAGGAACCCAAGGTGGTGTACATAACCCTCTCCTTGTCATGTTCATCAGTTTACCAATCCTACAGCCCTGTAATCTAAGCCAGTATGGCATTACCCAAAGGGACTGTGACTGCTTGAGCTGCTTCTGCAATGGGCAGTCCTGCTTTTGGTCAGATTGATATACCATCTCCCATTTCTTAAATCTTCCTTCTATCCAAGGCTAAGCCACCCAGATCTCTATATCTCAAGAAATGATAGAGTTTTGCTTAGAGCAAGGGTCTCAAACTCAACTTACCTGGGGGCCGCTTCAAGTAGAGTCTGGGTGAGGCTGGGCCGCATCAAGTATTCCACCACCACAGTGGTGGTGGGCCGCTCATCCTGCGGCTGGCCCAGGCGCCGCTGGCGATTTGAAGGCCACGGGGCCTCTCCCCTGTGCCCCGCCTGTCCTGGCAACTGGCCCGCGGGCCGCGAGTTTGAGACCCCTGGCTTAGAGAGATGACCATAGTAATCTGGGTATGAGCAAGACAAAAGTATTGCAGAGCCTAAATCCACACTGCAGTATTATCCTAGATATTGTAAGCAATGCTGCTTTTCATAACATGTGTAAAGAGAAGTGACAAGATGTATGAAGATACTGGTGGGAAGTTTATAGTAACCAAGGTGCCAAAATATACTCTGAAAGGCAAAATATTTCTTCTTCAGTCTAAAGAAATAAATACTTGGGGAGATAAGGCACATTTCTGAAAGTTTTCTTTCAAGACTTTTGAAAGAAATTTATTTTTTAATTTAATTAACCAAGAAATTAATTTTTGGGATATAAAAGGGGGCCAGTTACCACATGCCATAGGAGCTGGTCACTACTTTACAGTTTAATTTATTTTCCTGAGTCTTCTAACTTCTAGCTGATGATGATGACAGTGCATTCAGCCAATAAGGGAAGAATCTAACAGGTACATAAAAAATACAAAACCACTGATTCATGAATCATTCCAAAAATATCTTTAAGTGTGTTTGTGAGCAAGAGGAACAAATGGCATGAAGTCTGAATTTTCTGCATTCTAAATTGTGAGAGTACAATCCTATGCATATAGACAGAACAAAGTCCTGCCATTCCTAGGTGTAGCTGCAATTAGCATTTCCATGCTTGTTGTGGAATGTTGGGAGTTGTAGGACATTTTCTGTCTAAGTTACATAGGACTGAGACCTAAACCACTCATGCAGCCATGTCATATTTCAATAGGTTATCACTCATATTAGAACTCTCCTATCACTTTCCACTATATATAAACCAACTGCCAGCCATTTAGTTCAAGTGGCAACACTTTCTCAGAGCTTTCCTGAAAGATTAAGGCATTTTTCCATGCATGCTACTTCCATAACATTTGAATCCTTTAGGAGCCTCAGCTGTACAAAATGGAGTACAGTTGTTTTGCATGCCATGAAATTCCTTATGTATGCATTATGTCAGATCTTGTGAGGGCACCCCATTGGCTCTCTCATCTGTTTGTCAAAGCTTGCATGACAGAGGTGTCAAGCCTCTTTCCGCTTGAAGTCTGAATTCAGTGCCAGCATATGTTTGCTTAAAACTCTTACTGCCAGTAATTCTGCCATTGGACAGACATGTCTTTATGAGTGGGGGAAAATTGCACAAAACCAAATGGTTATCAAGGGAAAGAGGGTGAAATGAGGGAAAAATTATTGGGACCTCAGAGAACTGTATGGAGTCCCAAGCAGGCTAGACTGAGCCCAAGGCCTGTGGCTCAGCACCTCTGGGCAGTACTTTGGACCCTAAGCTTCTGCCCTGCCCCTTTTCATCAGCAGGACTCCTCCGTGAGGAGTGGCTACTGCAGGTGGCACTGTTCAGCTTAGAAACAAGGCAAGGGATGGGAGATGTGATAAAGGTGCTCAAAATAATGCACAGTGTGGAGAAAGCAGAGGAGGAGGAGACATTTTCTTTCCTTCTCCCATAACACTTGAACCCAGGGTCATCCCATGAAGCTTATTGATGGGAGGTTTAGGACAGATTAAAGGAAGCACTTCTTCACACGACATATATTTAAGCTATGGAATTTGCTGTTATGGGAGTGGTTGGCTTTAAAAAGGTGGATGGTTTTAAAAAGACTGGAGAGATTCATGGGGGTGGAGGCTATCAGGTTCTGCTAGCCTTGCCGGCTATGTGCAGAGTTGGCTTGCCTTGCTGGACTTTATAACTTGGGCAAGAGGAGGTCTTGCACCCATCCTGCTTGAGGGACCCTTTGGTCAACTGCTTTGCCGCCGTGTGTACTGAGTGCTGACTAGACGGACCTTTGGTCTGATCCAGCATGGCTTTTCTTATGTTCTGCAAAGGGCATTCTCCATGGTATTCTCTGCTCCTGATGGGTAACCAAGCATTTTTTCCTGATGAATAACATGCTTTGGTGACTTGAAGTAAGCAAATGTTGGGCAGTACAAATGTGCAAGTGACCAAACTGATACCATGACTACCATATGAAGAACTGGCGCTCCAAGTTTGTGTCACATCTATGCAGGAGCAGTAAAGCC